GTCTCTAGAGTAAAAAGGACCCAAACGGACTTAAGTGAATTGCTTTCTGCACGGACGAATGCTCTAATTTGTCTTTTTAAGGCGAAAGGAAGAAATGTTTTCTTTTACATAAAGTTCACTAACCTCTATGAACTCCCCAATGTATGTGTGTATATGTGTAGGTGTGTGTTTGTACATTTACAATGTTTATCTTATCTTATGTTACCTTATCTTATCTTATCTTATCTTGGTATATCATCTTCTCATCTTTTCTTATTTTATCTTATCCCATATCATGAATCATTCATTATATCTACATGTATTTCATTTCTTTATTGCAGGTCATGTCGTTCAGGAGAAGACAAATGCGACATGCCAAGAATATCTCAACTCTGCAGACGTACGCATCCAGTACCCTACCTCACGAGGACATTAATCCGCGGAGTCAATTCTTTTTAACCCAGTAATAGTGCACCCACAGCCTTAGATCCGAAAGATACGCCGGTGGTGGTGAGCTAGCTAAAGCTCTCTAGTACACTGGACATACCACGTAGACACGTCTTCCAGTTGTTGGGTTTTTTTCTCACATCCTGAAAGCTGAAGAACGTGGTGACTAGAACAACACGCCTGGTTTTGGCTCAAGTCGTCTGTGAAATACTGATGAACCGCTGAATTCATTTCAACAACTCAGGCGTTCCAACTTGTATTTTTCTCCACAACTCGTCATTTTCTCCTAGGGATTTGGGAAAACCCTGAAGCAAAACGTGTTCTTGGTGGAGAATCCTTGCCCTTTGCGTAAACGGGTGATGGTGTGGATCGATATTTCAGTGCGGGGACTTCGGAAATGTTTTTTGGAGCGTGAAATGTTGAATTTCGCTTCCGGATATTCCCGGTTCTAGGGCGGTGGTGTGATATGGTGCTGTCTGTTTGTAAAGTGGTTTAGTCGTTGCATAGGCTAGCAGAGAGAAAATCAATGGAAACGAATAATATTATGTACCCGACCTATTTTGTTTCACTGAGTAACGTATACTGTCCGCATGTTAAATATCCAACCTGACGCCATTATCTATTACAAAAATAAAAGTTTGTGTATTTAAAGAAGCTAGAAAAAAAAACGTGAAGCGCTATTATCTGTACACCGACTTCTATCATTAAGGTGTGTTCGTAAACATCGTAACTATCTGATCGATGCATCAAAACTATATTATGTATAGGCGAAGGAAACTATCTGTCTATCCCAATCTCTAGAAATGTTAGTGTAAGTAGCATTCTTTACACTTCACAACGTAAAAAAAACAACTAACGGCCTTTAAAAGCACAGCGTGTCTTTCTCTGTTTCTTTCGACTGCCCTCATTCTTCGACGTACGCAAACGTCCACTTCCAAAGACATGAGCCGTTCTCTGCAGTGGGTGGTTTTTAATTATCTCAAGAACGAGGGGGAGACATCTTGCCAAATATATACATATTTTTACGGCTAGGGATAAAAGACCTACTTAAGTTCCCAGCCATATCCATTCATAGCAAACCATATAAGTGGGTGGTTGGCGGGGTCTCTGGTGTGGTTTGCTCCTTTTTTCCTATTAAACATCTATTGAACTTATCTCTTCTCCTTCTTTTTGTGCTTGTTTCAACTTCATAGAAAGGCCTTTTCTCGAGACTCGTATGAATGTCAGATATTATGCTGCACTAATGCATACAGAGGACAACAAATGACTATCTCATTTTTATTCAGACGCGATGATCTTTGATGTTCTTTTTTGGTTCCCAGGCGTGTTCAAAGCAAGGGCTGACGTCATCACTTCGTGTGAACCTTCGCTCATCGTTACATGTTTGCAGGGAGCTAATGTAACCATATTTACAACGTTTATCGGCAGAGTGTGAGTAAACTTGTGTACAGCGATGAAGCTCAAGAACGCAGAATATCAAATATCCGGTGGACGTGAATGTTTCCAGTGATCAAACAAATTTTGGAAGCAGTTTACGCCACACGATCATCGGAAATTGAAATGTCCTTAGCCGAGTCTCATGTCCGGACACATAGCCACTTCTAATTTAAGACTGAGCGCTGCCTATATAAAACTATAGGTAGTAGGTACATACAAAACTGCTGATGCTCGATGTCCAGACGAGACTTCTAAAAGTGAAGGAGGAAAACGGACACGCGTGTGGTGGTGGTGGAGAAAGAGGAGGAGGTGGGGGAGGTTTCTTCGGCGGAGCCGGAGGGGGAGGA